GTTGTAGCCTCAATGGAAGTGCCAGCAATTGTGGTGGCAGACTGTTCAGTTGTAGTGCTGGCTGTTGTTGTGGCTATGGGTTCAGTGGTGGTGGTTGTGGTAGCAGCCTCAGTGGAAGTGCCTGCAGTTGTAGTGTCAGACTGTTCAGTTGTAGAGCTGGCTGTTTTTGTGGTGGTGGGTTCAGTAGAGATGGTAGTGGTGGTGGCTGTGGTTGTAGCCTCAGTGGAAGTTCCTGTAGTTGTGGTGGCATACTGTTCAGTTGCAGCACTGGCTACTGTTGTTGTGGTGGGTTCAGTAGAGGTGGTAGTGGTGGTGGTTGTGAATATAGTCTCACTGGAAGTGCCAGCAGTTGTGGTGGCAGACTGTTCAGTTGTAGTGCTAGCTGTTGTTGTGGCTATGGGTTCAGTAGAGGTGGTAGTGGTGGTGGTTGTGATTGTAGTCTCAGTGGAGGTACTTGCAGTTGTGGGTGGCAGACTGTTCAGTTTTAGTGCTGGCTGTTGTTGTGGCTATAGGTTCAGTAGAGGTAGTAGTGGTGATTGTGGTTGTAGCCTCAGTGGAGGTACCTGCAGTTGTGATACCAGACTGCTCAGTTGTAGAGCTGCCTGCTGTGGTGGTGGTGGGTTCAGTAGAGGTGGTGGTGGTTGTCGTTGCAGTTGTAGCCTCAGTGGAAGTGCCTGTAGTTGTGATGGTAGCCTGTTCAGTTGTAGTGCTGGCCATTGTTGTGGTAGGATCAGTAGAAGTGGTAGTCATGGTGGTTGTGGTCATAGCCTCAGTGGAGGTACCTGCAATTGTGGCAGACTGTTCAGTTGTAGTGCTGGCTGTTGTTGTGGTGGTGGGTTCATTAGAGATGTCAGCAGTGGTGGCTGTGGTAGCAGCCTCAGTGGAGGTGCCCACAGTTGTGGTGTCAGAGTGTTCAGTTGTAGTGCTGGTTGTTGTGATGGTGGTGGGTTCAGTAGAGGTGGTAGTGGTGGTTATTGTGGTTGTAGCCTCAGTGGAAATGCCTGTAGTTGTGATGGCAGACTGTTCAGTTGTAGTGCTGTCTGTTGTTATGGTTGTGGATTCAGCTGAGGTGATCATGTTGGCTCTTGTCGTTCTTGCTTCAGTGTAACTGCCTTTAGTTGTGGTGGCAAACTGTTCTGCTGTAGTGGTGGATGATGTTTTGGTTGTGGGTTTAGGAGAGGTGGTAGTGGTGGCTGTTGTGATTATAGCCTCTGTGGAAATTCCTGCATTTGTTGTGGCCGTGGCTTCAGTTGAAGTGGTGGCTGGTGATATTGTAGTTGCATTTGAAGTGTTAGTGGAGTTCATTGTGCTGGTAGGTTCTATAGAAGTGCTTGCAGTGGTTCTCATAATAGTAGGTTTAGTTGAAGTGGATTTTGTGGTAGAATTTATTATCATAGTGGTAACTGTAGGTTGAGAAACTGTAGATAAGGTTATTCCAGTGGCAGATGAGGTTGTTCCATGGCTTTGGGGAAATTGGATAACAATGGAGGCATTATTATTTTTCCCATTATACACCAGGGATACTATGAGTACTCCAATTGCTGTTGTTATCAAACAGGCTAAGAGACAAGCGAGAAAGGTTTTCCATAGAGACCAGTCACAGAAGAAATTTTGTTTCACCTGGAACAGATTTTTAAAAAATTACTAAAGATAAAAATAAATATTTTGTGAAAAATTAATGCCACTGTTTATCCTTCTTATATTATGTTTTCTTCTAGTGATGTGATAGTTTCAAGTCTTACACTCAAGTGTTTTGCCATTTCATGTTGGTATTTGTATATGATGAGTGATAAGAGTCCAATTTCCCTCTTTTTCAAGTGGATATTCAGTTTTCCCAACACCATTTTTGAAAAGACTCTTCTTCATTATGTGTTCTTGACATCTTTGTTGAAACCAATCGATCACAAATGTGTGGATTTATTTCTAGACTCTGCCTTCTTCAATTGATCTGTCTTTTTTAGTGCCAATACTGTCCTGTTTCAATTACTACAGCTTTGTAGATTTTGAAATAGATTATCTCATTGAAGGTATAAATGAAACCAACTTTGCAAAAATTGTAACAATGAGGAAATCATGATAGTGAAAGAGATGTGATCTAATCAACCAACTTCTTGCTTTTAACCTCCAAACTGTCCTTACTAATTCCTGAGCATAATAGGCCTTCCCCAAAACTAAACTGCCTTTCTAAAGCTAATGAAAGACCACCAGGTGAGGAGAATGAGAGGAGCCTGAATTCTGCTGAGATGTAGATATAAATGATTATCTGTCACTTTTCTGGAGATCACAAGATTTGCAACTTCCCCAATTACTCCTGCAGATACCTTCACTATTGTAGCACCTAAGATTGGTCTTTTCAGATATTTTTTCAGGTTTTTGAATTTCTGATGACTGATGGCTCCAACTGGTCCTATAGCCCCACCTGGAAGCAACTTCAGTGACCACGAGGACCATTTCCTGCACTCCTATGATTGCCCCCCCAACCAAGCAGTAGCACCAATTCCCTAGCCACCTCTCCTTCTCCCAAACTATGTTTGAAAAACTCTAGCTTCCAAATTTGGGGGGAGGTGGATATGAGTAAAATAAAACTCTGGTCTTCCATTTAGCCAGCTCTATATGTTAAAACTCTTTATTGCAATCTCCCTGTCTGACAAATTGGTTCTATCAAATCAGTGAACAGGAAGAGCCTATTGAGCATAAAACATGAACACAAAAGCTATTTTAAATAACAAACACTGGGCCCAAATTTTAATTTTTATTAGGAAAAACCTTGTACTTTGGTTTTCCTTAATGTTCAAAGAAATTTCCACTGATCTCTCATGCTTTCTCATTTTCATGAATGTCTTTCCAAATTAAAAAACAATAAATATCTTCTTAGAAACTCTTTACACTTCCCAGGGTATAGAAACCATCTAAGTCAAGGTTGAAAGCATATGAGGTCAGAGCCAGGAGGGCTACAGAAAGCCCACAGTTAGGCTCAGAGCACACAGGAAGGCAGCGTGAGAGAGATCATCCACAGATTAGGGCCTTGGACCTCAATACATGACTTCATCTTCCACCTGAGCAAGGTTTACAAACAACATCATTCACTGCCGATGTATTTTCTAGGTTGCCACCTAGTCAATACTTCAAAAATAAAAGCCTCTAATTTTTATTTTCTTTGACTTGCACGTATTTTCTCTAAACTCCTTGCATGTCTTTATCTTTCTATCAAGGTCATTAACTCCTTAAACAAACAGCCTCATAAATCTTCTCCCTCTCCTATATTCCCTCTCAGTGACTTAACATTTTCAAAGGATTTCTCAAAAGAAAAATGTTAATGTTAATTGACTGAATTTTTTTCCTCCAAATATTGGATCAAGAGTATTTCCATGTGGATTACATCTTAATCCAGAAAACAGTGTTGTCCCAAGTATTACCTGACAATGTTGGAATTCTCTGTTTAGAAATTCAGAGTGTTCAAGGGTCGCTGGGCTGGTGCAGACAGCACTTAAATTGGTACCAACATCACCAGTTATTTCCACTGATGTAGAGAACTGACATGCTGAATTGTGAGCTTCGTGGTTTCTTGGGCTCAGGAAAGCCTATAGGTGGAAAAGAATGGGAAAAAAACGTAAATCATATACTGCTTTTAGTTAGTACCCCATCTTTTCAGAGATAACCACTCTTACTTCTGTTGCCACAGCTTAGTTTTGTATTTTGTTAAATTCTGAATAAATGGAGTTATACAGTACTTTTATGTATGTGGCTTATGTTGCTCATCACGGTATCTGTATCACTTGCTTCTTCTTTATTACTCTAAAATATTTTATTTGCATAAATAAACCACAGTTTATTTATCCATTTTCCTGTTGATGGATGTTTGAGTTGTTTTCACTTTTTGTCATGAATCAAGCTTCTGTGAACTTCCTTGTCCATGGCTTAGAGAACACATAGCTTTCATAGCTCTTGGATGTACAGGCAGGAACACAGTGACTATGTCATATGATAGGTGCTGAGAGCTGCTAGGTGTCCAGGTGGTCAATTAGGACTCTGAACCAAACTAAAAGTGATACTAAGCCTTTATTCACTTATTGCAATAGTATAAGCAAGAGGTCAAAGAGGAAAAGGTTCCAGCCACCATAATGTTCCTTTTTTTTCCCTCCACATAACAGCACTGGGCAAGAGTTACATGGATCAGCATAGACCAGGGTCACCCCATTTCCAAAGAAGCACGGAACAAAGGGTTTCTGCCATTTTATGGACCCAGGAGATAGAAGGAGAAAGAGGAAGAAGGCTTAGAAGTGGGAAAGAGCTGAGCACTGAATCAGGGTGCAAAAAAATTGGATGTTGCAAATGTTTTGTATTTTGATCTAGAGGATGTCACGAGTGACCAGTGACTATCTGGGCCAGTGGCACAGTGGGTAAAAATAATTTAACAAAACACTTGTAGGTAAAGAAAGGTAGAGTTATCAGAGAAAGCTGCAAAATAAGTTGTAAGGAAGCTGCAGGCAAGTTAGCAAGAGAGGAGCTGACAGCAAGGAGATAAAGGCTTGCTGGGGATTTTGTAGGGCGGTGCCTGTGCTGTGTGCTGAAGAGGGGTTTATGTAGTGTTGATAATGCCAAGATTGCAATGAACTAACTTACAGGGGTCTGGTGATCAGCTGGGTGCAGGAGGATTGTGAGTTATTTGCACAGGACAGCTATGTGTCCTGGACCATGAAGAAAGGCAGACTTACAGCTTATCTGCTCTTACTTGTTGCTTTCCCTTGGTCCTACCAGCCTGACTCCTTTTCCCTAGTTAAGACTCTACAGGGGATGATTACACAGGTATGTGTTTGATGTATATATGTATGCATATGTGTGTAAAAATTCATTAACTTTTTCACTTAATATAAGTTTACTTTACGTACGGTTTACATAAAGTATATTGTACCTTAATTTTTAAAAATTCAAAGTAATGAGTACACTAAGCTATAGCATGGACAAACCTAATATATGAAAATTTTTTGAAAATCACAGAGGATATTGGAGAATCCCAAGATGGAATACAAAGTAGGATGAAACAATCTGACTGTATTACAAATATAAGAATCAAGAACTTCACTGAAGTGGATGGAGTAAAAAGGTGCTGACTAAAGGAACTTTGGGAACAAGTGGAGTCTGTCACACTAAAAGCAAAAGAAACTAGACACGGCATAGAATTATAGCTGATGCAGTTGTTACCCACAGGAGAACAGTTTAATAATTCCAAACATGCATACTGGAATGAAATAATTAAGCAAATGGATGGAAGTGGGAGGATGGGAGCCATGTTTCTCCTTGTTAGAGTAGAAGTTTACAGATAAGCAAGAGCAGAAAGTGTAAACCGAAAATAAAATTCTAAGTTGCCCAACTGAATGAACAGACTCCTCTCTTGGCCAAGGGGATCCCAAAGAACCCTGAAAAACTACTTCGAGTCACAACAGGAAGGGCAGGTCAGACATAATTTATTATCCCTCTTCCCTTTGGAGTTTAGGCACAACTGACCAAAATTAACATTAAAATAGAGGTCATAGATAAATAAAACAGATTCTTTGTAGCAATGAGATACCCAGCTCCAACTTGACCTTGGTTTATCATCACATGACAGAAAGCAGGAACTGATGGAAATAAAAGAATTTTACCGCAAAATGTATCGCTTTGACATATTTTGAAATGGCCCTACAAAGCCATCTCTTGTAGGGGAAATTTGTGCTCTGTAGAAAATCCCCTTCCTTTTGCGGGTGTTTTCCTGATTCAGAAGAGATTTAACTGAGTCTCACACCTTTCAAGGTCAGATAAGAGTCATTTACCATCTGTTCTGTCTGAAGCCTGCCACCTGGAAGCTTCATCTACATAAGAAGAATCTTGGCTCCCACGATCTTCCTTATCTTAACTCAAGCCTTTCTTTCTGCTGACTTTTACTCTCTAGGCAAAGCTCAATGCTTTCAACCAATTGCCAATCAGGAACCTTTGAATCCACCTATGCCCAGTGTGTACACTCACTCCCCCATCCCACCCACTTCAAGAGGCCCTGACTTTCCAGGCCAAAACAATGTATACCCCACATGTATTCATTTACATCTTTGCCTGTAACTTCTGTCTCCATAAAATGTATAAAACCAATCTGTAACACAACCACCTTGGGCACATGTTCTCTGGACTTCTTGAGGCCATGTCACAAGTCATGGTCACTCATACTTGGCTCAGAAGAAACCTTTTTAAATATGTTACAGTTTGGCTTTTTTCATTAACGGAGGCTAGAATGCTCCATGGATCATTACAGTTAGAGATTAGATGAATTACAGTTGGAGATACCAATATAAACTTAGGCTTAGCTTAATAGCAACATAGTTACATATAGAAATACTTATAGATATGTTTATATGCATGGGATAGTATATTCACATATGTCTCCTTGCTTTGTCAGGTGAGGGACCCAGTAGCAACAAAATGCCAGTAGCAACAAGCATACCTGGCACCCAAATCTCGGGTTTTTTTAAAATTTATTTATTATGCTTTAAGTTCTGGGGTACATGTGCAGAACATGCAGGTTTGTTACATAGGTACACATGTGCCATGATGATTTAGTGCATCCATCACCCTATCATCTACATTAGGTTATTTCTCCTAATGCTATCCCTCATCAATCCCCCCACCCTGCTATCCCTCCCCTAGCCCTCCACTCCCCGACAGGCCCTGGTGTGTGATGTTCCCTCCCTGTGCCCATGTGTTCTCATTGTTCAATACCCACTTATGAGTGAGAACATGCAGTGCATAATCTTGGTTTTTAAATACCATTCCCAATAAAAGGACACAGGGCTCCTTGGAGAAATGGCTGTTTCTAGGGCTAGAGCAGGAAATATATAAGATGACCCTGAGTATCTTGTAGTGTCAGAGAATAAGAAAGTCCCCACACTCTCCTTTAGAAAAACCCACAATGATGGGACAGGTCAAACATATGCAGCAGCCAACTGAAAGAGATCCCAATAGCCGAAGCTAGAAAATGTGAGCAAATAACTGAAGTTGTATTGGACCACCCAAATTAAAAAAAAATTAATATCTATGAGTCCATACTGATATAAATAAATAAATAAATCATAAAATAGAGAAGAGACAAGTATCCTATGCAAAATAATTCAGGACAATTTATCTAGATTATCTACCCTCAGGGAACATAATTCTCCACATTTTAAGTGTGGGCTGCACTTTACTGACTTTCTTCCAAAGAATATAGTACAGCAAGGGGGAGAGGTGAGTAATTTTACAGTGAAGAAACCTGGCAAACCACCACCTTGGCCAGGTTAACACCAACAGAGCTAAATCATATTGTTAGTATGTACCCTTGATGTGATAAGTATGGCACTTTAACTCTGTGGTCTGCCCTAAAGAAATCAGTACACCTGTCTAATCATGAGAAAAACATCAGGCAAATCCTAACGTAGAGAAATTCTATAAAATCCCTGACCAGTAGTACTCCTCAAAACCATCAAGGTAATTAAAAACAAGGAAAATCTGAGAAATGATTATAGCCAAGAGAAGGTTAACATACATTTTCTGGTTACATTATTCAGGTTATAATGCCCAGGATTTCTTAAGACTACAAAGAAGAGTAACCTTTGTCCACCCTTCACTGACTAAGATTCCCCATATAAAACTGAATCCTGTGGCCTAAGCATTATGAATAGTATCCAATACTCAACAGAACTTAACAGTCTATGGAAAAACTATAGAAGATGCATCATTTAGTGATTACTCAACATACATTTTTTGGTTTCTTTTTGTTCTTTCTAACCTCATAGATTGTACGCCATCATTGGCTAAAGACACCACGGACTTGTTTGAATTTATATACAAATATAAAAAGCATTAGAAGCTGTAAAATGTTTGGGTACAGCCATATTCAGCACAGTCTTCACGGAGTGGATAGCGCAAAGGATAAAGGGAGTGTTATTGAGAAGGTATAAATAGAAGACTTTGGACGGGCACAGTGGCTCACATTTATAATCCCAGCACTTTGGGAGGCTGAGTGGGCAGATCATCTGAAGTCAGGAGTTTAAGACCAGCCTAGCCAACATGGTGAAACCCTGTCTCTACTAAAAATACAAAAATTAGCCGGGTTTGGTGGTGGATGCCTGTGATTCCAGCTACTCAGGTGGCTGAGGCAGGGGAATCAGTTGAATGGGGAGGCGGAGGTTGCAGTGAGCTGAGATCGCGCCTCTGCACTCCAGCCTGGGTGACTAAGTATGACTCTGCCTCCAAAAAAAGAGAAAGACTCCATTTGTATTTGGTACATGGGTACCTATTTAAATTTTTTTTTAAGTAAATGCATTAAAAAGTTGGGTTCAAATGTGAAACAATGTGCGGGTTAGGTTTTTCTTAAAGGGAGGTTGAAAGAAAAAGTAATCTCAGAAACAGTTTTAAGAAAAAGGAGAATCATCTTTGTTAGATATTCAAAGGACTGTAAATTGGTCCATGTAAATTTGTTACAATTGAAAAATATTATATAATTATCTAGAACCTTTTTCTAATAGAACGGTAAGAATATTATTTAAATATATTCTCCTGGCCAGGCACAGTGGCTCACGCCTGTAATCTCAGGATTTTGGGAGGCTGAGGCAGGTGGATAACCAGAAGTCAGGAGCTTGATAACGGCCTGGCCATCCTGGTAAAACCCTGTCTCTACCCAAATTACAAAAATTAGCTGAGTGTGATGGCAAATGCCTATAATCCCAGCTACTTTGGAGGCTGAAGCAGGAGAATCTCTTGAACCTGGGAGGTGAAGATTGCAGTGCCCTAAGATCATGCCATTGCACTCCAGCCTGGGCAACAAGAGTGAAGCTCTGTCTCAAAAAGTAAAAAATAAAAAAGATAAATAAATAAATAAAATAAATATACTCTCTTGACCTTCTTGATTAAATGCCCAATCCAAAGTGGATTTTTAAAAAGCTACTGACGTTGCCAAATCAATTAATCTCTAAATTTTATTAAAACAACCAAACCAAATGTGTATGCAGACACTACTCAGTGGGAGACTGTACATAAGAATAAGAGAATTTAATTGTGATTAAATACAGTCAAGAAGGAATATATCTGGGTGTAAAGACTTAGCCAGAGTCTAATTTTTCTTAAGGTACAATAGCATGCCAGAACATTTTTTTAAATAGCTATTCAACAATATTAAATAAGATAAAATAGGATAAACACAGGTACTTTAACAAAATTCCATCTGTTTTTCAATCAGAAACTTTGAGAAAAATAACAAAAATTCATCTTTTCTAAAAGCTTCATTTATTCTTCAGCTATCTAGTAAACTGAGGGTGATGAACTTAGTTTTTTGTTTTTGAACTTTTAGAATTAAATCAAACCTCATTTTCCAGACTAGCTTGCCTGAATTTCTTTTAAGTTCTTTATAAAGGAAGGAAGATAGTGGGTATCTATACCAAGAATGGAGAACCTACCACACTGGAGCTTTATGGGTAACATAATTCTTGCTATCTCAGTTTCTCCTGTCAGTCTCTAAAGTTAAAAATTAAAGTTAAAAGTTGTCTCTAAAGTTAACAATTGATCAGTTAGGGAGCTGTGAATTATACTTAATTAGCTTTTGGTAGCAGCCAATAACTTCCATCATGTATCTGATATGCATTAGCTATACACACGGAGTAAAATTTTAAATTCCCTATTCATAAAGAGATTAATTTACCAATTTTTGTTTCCTAAGAGGGAAAAACAAACTCCTAAATTTTATTTTTATGTGGCCTTCAGTTTCTATTTAATCCATTGATTAAAATGGCCGTCAATGAAAAAAACATTTGTTTCTGTCACTACATCCAAGTATACATACAGATATAAGTGAAATATTCAGTCAGTGTTAAAATATGTAACCTTTATTTGAAAACAGCATTGTTTGGGAAAACAGTCCAGATGACTAATTCCTTACTATTACCATGAGTATGTAATTCCTTATTATTATCATTTGAGTATGTTGACAGTGTGAAGACACAGTGACAGATTTGCAAGGGTAGACAGACCATAAAGACTGTCTTCAGGGTAGAGGGGTACGGACCTAGAATCAAGGGAGAAGTTTCTCTGCCTTATAACTTCCTTCTTAGCGCATGGAGAGAAAAACATTTTTCCTCACAAAACATAACTATCCATTCAAACTTATACTGATTTCATTCAGCATATTTCCATTTCTGTTTCCAATATCAAGGACTCTAGTTAGATATGAAGAGTTACAAAAAATGCAATCATAAAACATACAGAGCTAAATTGTTTCTTCTAAAATCCTAAACAATAAACAAGGTTGTATGTAATTGTACTCTAAAATTTTACCTAAATACAATTCTTTACCAAAAAAGAAATTTATAAGCACTTAAGTAGAGGCCAGTCTAAAGGATTTGCCAGATCATTTGTTTCCTAGGCCTCAACTCCACTTACAAGATTCGTTTCTGATTCCCAAAAATAGGTACAAATATTTGGGTTCTGATAAATCTGGATATTACACTAACAATCTTGGCAGTTAACACAAAAATCTACACTTCATGTTTTAAAAGTTTAATTTGCTAATTCAATCAGACTTATGTGTGTTGTCTTATGCTTAAAATATAATAACTGTAAAGTATTACTCAAATATATCATTAAATTGTTACCCCCCAAAACTGCTAATATCTTAGATCAGTGATTATTTAAAATAAGTTTCTCTACTATGCTTGTATTGATATACAGAAAAAACACAAGTTTTCTAATTAAGAAGTTGTAATAGAGTAGCTAAAAATTGGCTTCCATGTAAAATTTTGATTAAGAATTTCATTTTGGGAAGAACTATGTTATAATTTTTAAAAATTAGGGTTTCATAGATACTGAAATTAAGATTGTGGACTAGCAGAATATATCACAGTGGTGCCACCAATACTCACTTGCTGGTTTCCAGAGCGTTCACTATTCACTACGTATTTCCCCTGTTTTCTGTCCATTCTTGAACTGCCAATATCACAAGCTTAACTCCGGAAATATTTTTCAGCCTCTTCATTGCCCTTTATACCTGCAACCTTGAGAAATAATTGAGTTGATTAATAGTAAATCTACTATGAGACATCAGTGCCAGTGTGGATTAGACTGAATAATAAATAATTATTCTTTGCATGGGATCCGCCTTCAGGGAAGAAGTACAGTGTTAAGTAGTCATGTAAAGAAACAAGAAAATCAATACCACTTCTGTAACTACACTCTCAATACTCCTCCCCAAACAGCCTGCTTAGGAGAAAGAAACTGCTTTCACATACATTTCTTCCTTCTCTCCCTATCACATCATCTCTCAGGCCTCTTCCTTCTGACCTCTAGAACAGCCCAAGACAGAAACAGAATTCGGGAATAAGTGAACGTTTCTGTTGTTTCTTTTCTAATATTTCTGTTGCTTCCTTCTAACCACATGTGACTGTTTTTTCCTCAAAGAAGAGGAAATAACTTTCAGAGGAAACAACTTTTAGACACTCACCACCCACTGCTCAAGTCTTGACCTTCTTGGGTGCCTTTCCATGCTCTACAACTTTTCCAGTCTATTCTCTTCCTCTCTCTGCTTCTGAAAAACATTAATCTGACTTGGCTTAGTCTTCTTCAAGCTCCAATACAGCACTGATAGTTAATCTGAGGAACAAATCTCTGCACATGTATTCACCAGGGTTCCTTTTTCTTCCCATCTTAGGGGCTCCGATTGGCATGGCCACCCAAACGATTACTTCTGATTGTGTTTATGACTTAATAACAGGGCACGTGGGCAGATGAGGCTCTTCCAACTATTAAAAATTATACTCCAAAGCAAAGGCTTTTTTCTTATCTGTAGAAATATCTTTGGTAGGATCTAAAAGACAATTGATAAGAGTTAAGAGATAATATTTAATCTCTGAAATGAAAATTATCAGTCCTCTCCCAATACATGTATCTAGGGAATCTGAAATAAAATTGGTACAGAAAGTTGTTTGTGAAGAATGGTGTTTAATAACCTAAAAGACTGAAATATCTCTTAAGTAGTAGTTAATCCACAGATTATTTCTTGCAAATGAAGCAACAAAGACAAAGTAGTTGTACTATTTTGTGGAAAATGTCTCATGATCAGACATCTGTCAGGCTTCAAAGATAAGAACTATCTGTTGCAAGAGACCTGAGAGATCTTGTAGCTCAGCCATGTCATTTTAAGGTTGAGGAAATTTGTGCCCAGAGAGAGGAAGTGGTAAGAGCCAGTTGTGTAGTGGAACTTGGCTTTTTTTTTTTTTTTTTTTTTTCAGTCTAATATCTTCTCCACAACTACTTTATTAGTATTGACATGGTAGAAAGATGGACAGCTTAGTAGGAAGTCAAGGAAATATATTATTGAAATTAAAGACACACAAAGATTTCAAAGACTTAGAGTTAGAGAGGATCCTAGATGGAATGCCTATTATTTATCTGGCATTATCTGAGACAAAACCAGGCTCGCAGGGGCAGGATCTGGGAATCTGAATTCTGGTCCTGTTTGATCAAATTCCAAGTAATCTTTATTCAAACAATGTTTGAGAAATATTTTACTAAGCAATGATTCCAAGAGTAATCATGAAGTAGCTCAGTATCTTTGGGAAGAAAAGTGTGTGTGTGAAGAAACTTGAATTTTCTTAAATAAAAAATGATTAAGTTTTTAAATGGTTTATTTTTTCAACAAGTAATTATGGAGTCTCTACTGTAGCCAAGCATTGTGCCAAGTGCTGACTGTTCAATGGTGAAAAAGAGCAAATATTATGTATTTTAAGACTTTTTAATCCTTTTTAAAGTTCTTTTATAAATGCATTCTTCAGCAAAAAGTTTCCATTGGAATCCACTGAAGCAAAGAAAAACAGCCCTGGGGCCTATAGTACAAAAGAGTCATGAAAAATCTAGGGAAGAAATTTGGTCCAAAAAGAGTCAGAAACAATGGATTCTGGGACTGTTTAAGTAGAGTGTTCATGTACTTCACCACCATTCTCAGCAAGCTGACACAAGAACAGAAAACCAACACTGTGTGTTCTCACTCATAAGTGGATGTTGAACAACAAGAACACATGGACATAGGGAGGGGAAAATCACACACGGGGCCTGTTGGGGGGTCAGGGGGTAGGAGAAGGATAGCAGGGGGTAGGGAAATTGGGGAATGATAGAATTAGGAGAAATACCTAATGTAGATGGCGCGGTGATGGATGCAGCAAACCACCATGGCACGTGTATACCTATGTAACAAACCTGCACATTTAAGTACTCCAGAACTTAAAATATAATTTAAAAGATTAAAGAAAATAAAAAGGCAAAAGCCAAATGTAATGTTTTGGATATTAAACCACACACACACACACACACACACACACACACACACACAAATGCCTTTTGAAAGTAAAAGGAGGCAGTAGCAGTAATTTCACAGAGACAACAGTATCTCATGCAAACAAGACAGGTTGTCACTTAGCTATAAGGAACCTATGTGAGTTGGAAGATTCACTAGTACTAACCTATACCACTCAGTAAACCACTGGTTTAAAAATCAATTTAATATCTCTGGTGAACACATATGTCAGTTGAATAGATTATATATTTTAGTTGAGCTATTTTAAAATTTAACATAGCACTGTGATACTGATACAAATATTTAAATTTTGCACTGGAGTTTCATAACCACCAAGTAGGTAGAATTCCAGAAAAGCATATCATTATTTCAGAAATATATGGAGTATATACATAATTCTTTCAGTGACAAAATAATATCTAAGTCCCTTTCTCACCATCATTAATTGATTAACCATTGCAAGAGCCAAAGAAGGAATGCACATGTAAATTACCATGTTCTTAAATTTTCAGTGTAAAATTCAAACTTACACTATTTTTCCAAAGAACATATTTTGTTCATTGATTAATCTTACATCACAGACCAACCGCTAGAGTAGAATGCACCTGGATTATTACAATGTGCAAAGAGAATACACCTATCTCTCATTGGTATGCTGAATATCTCCTACAAAATCTTTCTATATTTGCAGAATTTTAAGCCAAAAAATTTGGAAGTCTACATTAACTAAGAATAATTGACAGTCCTTCAATAACAGGGTTTCTTTTTTTAGCCAAAGGAAAGTAGAGTCTGTTAATATGTCATCTAGCATTATAAAATGAAGTACACCGTAGTCCTAAAGATACAATAAAATAGATTTATTTATCATGTTACCCACATCAAACATTTCTGTGTCTAAGATTTCCCCATGAACTGATAGTAATCAAAACACCTCTGTCTCTCTGCTTTGATTTTTCAATGTGATGAGAGCCAATATGACAGCCCCAGCTCTATTATCTTTAGCAATTTTTTGATGCCAGGGGGGCCATTATTATAGTTCATCATATTGTGTTGAGTGATCAAATGGTAATGAAATAAGTGGATACCAGATTTCAAAGGCTTCAGTACAGAATTCAGATTTACATTTCCTGTCAATTTAAACTTGAAAAGATAATTGTTCAAAATGTGTGAAAGTTAAATGTCAAGTAAATGTCAAGCCAGTAAAATGACTATGTGAAAAAATGATCAAGTGGGAGAGTAAAGAAAACAAAACTATCTGAAAATTTGTTCAAGAAATCATCTCTGTCATACCCCTCCGATGACTTCCAGAAATGTGCCTTAAATAAATTAAGGGTTATTTTCCTTGACTTAAGGAAAAGGCTACAGGAGAGCAGTTCAGGTGTGGGTGAGAAGTAGGAAAATAAATGTTTCATCCCTTGCTGAAGAATGTCACTGGGGCACATTAACCGGCTGCTGAGTGGCATCTGACTCAGCCACACCTTGTTAATGATATTATTGCCATTTCTTTTGGAGGAATGCCTATTCCAGAGCATACCACACTGATCATATCTAATCCTCCTAGTATCTTCCTGAATTAAATATCATTACCCCATTTTTCTGATGAAATATCAAAGCATTTAGTGATACTTTGAGTCCTAATAAGTTTGTGACTCCCCATTCATTTATTCAAGAAATAGTTATTGAATTCCTAGTACATTTACTGTGCCACATTAGATGCTGAGAAAAAAAATTGGAAAATGGAGACGAAAATATATTTAGAATCTTAATCTCTTATGTATAGGAAAAACATCAGAAATCAACCAGAGACTCTGCCAACACATCTCAATATATTAAGACAACATGATTGTTTACTGACAGCAAGAAACGGGTGGTGGTAATGCCTAAAAACTTGCCTGCCCACTAGCAAGAGGTTGCTGAAACTCAGACCCAAATTACATCACAGGCTGAGAATTCTCAAGGAGAAGATAAAATTTATTATTTTTGCAGACTCAGAATCTCTGCCAAGGGTTGAAATAAATGATCAACATGAGAGAAGCCAAAGATATCAAGGCCTTCTACAGGTGCAATTTCATTAGAGAATCCTCAAGAATCCAGGCATTCATTGACATCTACGTCATGGTCTACCCAAGGGGAGCAGGGCTATAGCATTGGAATAGCCTCCAGCCCATAGAAATGGAAACTGGAAAAGGACAAAGCAAGACTTCCAGCCCTGTTGGAGAACAGTGGAGAAAAAGTAGCTACTAGAGTTGAATTCAAAGGGAAGCCCAGGAGAAAGTCAGGTGCATAAACTGAGTCACACAGAGAGGGCTTGGGCTTGTAACCTCTGGCATATTAATTATTATCAGATCTGAGGCACTATAGAATTTGGGTTGAGTCCTGATCTCCAGACAAGAATGAAAATACTAGCCATTTATGTTGTTTGTTAAATGTTCTAGCTCTCCCGTTTTCCACACATAATAAGGTTGCACTTTCTAGCCTCTGTGTTTCTTCTCAGTCTCCTTGAATTCAGGTTATTTTGGCTAGAGTTGTAAGCAAAAGATGTATTTATCATTTGAAGCCAGACATTTTAAACTGATGCATGTCATGAGCCACAATCAAAGATGACGTTCTACAAAAAGGCCAGGTTCCATTAGCCCAAGTTTCAGAATGAGGACAATGCTAAATGAACAGAGCCCATAAGTGACCAGTAACAGGTAGGTAGTATGAGCAAGAAATAAACCTTTGTTATCATAAGTCATTGTAATACATAAGTTGATATTGCAGCAAAACCTAGCCTGTCCAGACTAATACAGAGATCTGAGGAGTCAGCAGTGGGACATTATACTTCATCAGGTCACAACTGCAA